GAGGAGGGTGAGGGTCCGTTGGGGGCCCTGGCAGGAGGGTGAGGGTCGTTGGGGGGCCCGTGGTAAGGAGGTGAGGGTCCTGGGGGGGCCCTGGTCAGGAGTACGAGCAGACTCCGATCATTGGACAGACTCAGGCTCTGACACGCATACCCACACAGGTCGGCAGGTCAGGCCTCTCCAGCCCCCTGCCCTCCCGCAGCCCAGGTATCACAAGCCTGCAGATGTCTCCATCCCCCAACCCAGCCTCTTCCCCAGCTGAGGATTCCAGAGCCCTCATCCAAGGAGAAACAGAGCCCAAGGTCAGGCCCCTGGCCCCGGACTCACCATGTTCATGACGGTGAGGATGAACCTCTGGGCGGCCTCCGCCCCGTGGTACTGCACCATGTCAGCGTCGGCCACCACCAGCGTCTCTACCGTGTGCTCGTTGGTGAGCCGGATGGCGTTCCTCCGCTCCCGCCGGTCCCTCGAAGGCTGGCCCCTCCTTGGCTTTTTCTTGTCTAGAAAACAACAGAGACTTTCGTGCAGCCCTTGGCATACTGGTTTCCAAAGCCACCCCATGAACAGGCTTTCCACGGAGCCTCCCCAAGAGAATGGTCATTCTCCACTGGCCTGTAGATGGACCGAGCATCCATCGCCCTCCATGGTCACAGGCTGAGCCTGAGTGCTCGGGAGACCAGATGTCCAGAGGGCTCACGCCCGTCCTCCACCACAGCAGAGGGGGCCGATGGGGCCAAGCATCCCAGAGCCTGGGCCTGTGGGGGTGGGATCATGACACAGACCCACAAGGCTTTCTGACAGTGCAACAACTCACTCACTGCTGGTACCTGGGGCCGAGCCAGCAGGGGCCTGGGAAGCTGGCATTCCAGCGTCTGTTCTGAGAGTCATAAATAAGAAGCCATAAACGTTAGCAGGCACTAAAGCAGTAATTCCACAAAAAAAAAAAATCCAAAACATAACCAGAAAGAAAAAAAAAAAGAAAGAAAGAAAATCACACGACACACACATCTAGGCCAAGATGCCAGTTTGTTCTTTCCTCACCACAGGGAATGGTCATTAGTCAACGGCAAGTAACCCTCTGCTGACTCTTCAGATCAGCGGATTCCCTAGACGACCTTACTCTGCTAAACAGCTATTGTCATTAACCTGAGCCCAAGCTGGGATGTCTGGACACTCAAAGCTGCCATGGAAGGACTGACACAGATTTGCGGGTGCAGACATTTCCCACCAACACCAAAGGTTGATATAAATAACATGCACTTTCAGAATCCAAATGTGAATAGAAAGGCAGGTCCTTAACTTGATAGCTATTATTTCCACGTTCAGCACCAGCCCACACAGAAACCAGGTCTGCTCCAACTTCCGTGCAGTAAACCCAGGCCCACACGTGTACAAACTGGCGTCACACAGTGACCCAATCAGTCCAGAGCCAAAGATGCACACACTGCACACACTGTACAGCAACCTGAGACATGGGTCCTAGTGCACAAACAAGGACAGACTGTGCGGCGAGATATACAATCGTGAAAAGCTGAAAAACAACCCCAAACTCAAACCCCGGAGAAAGCCAGCCCTGGTAAGTCAGAAGGAAGCCATGAAAGGCACAATTGTGAGGATTAATTAGTGATGTACAGGGAAGCAGATGCAAATCTCTACATACTGTTAAGTCCCAGTTTTGCAAAGATTTTACACACAAGTGTCTTCAGGCCCCAGGGACAGCAAATAAATCAACAAGTAACTTTAGGAAGAGCTTAACCAAAATCTGAATGGTCGGTGATGTGTGATCTTCATTTTCCTTTTTCCCTCTGTACTTTCCAAATGTAAACGATGAACAAGTATTACTTTATTTATTTCAACTGTTATCAGTGAGTTTGAGAAAAACACAGAAGTCATTTCTAACCTCTAAGCCATAAAACAGAAGGCCTGGGGGGGCAAAGTATGTCATCTGATTTATCACAGAAACGCAAGACAAAAGGCGAGAATGTCTGGTTGACCTGCAGGATGGTTCTCTCCTCCCCAGAGCCCGGCCTACCTCCTGTGGAGACTTTCAGGCCTCAGAGGAACAGGAGAAGGAAGGCTCTAAGATAAAAGGTGAGCTCTCAGTTGGCAGTGACTTTGCACTTGGGCAGAATAGAGGTCTCTCTCTGGACCTACACCCACATTCACCAACCGGGTCATCTCTGAACACGTGGAGGCAGAACATGGGTAATCTCCAAATCCTGGGCTTGGCACGCTTGCTGGGTGGGCCTCACTGCCTGGATCAGGCCAACCTGTCCAGCCTGGAATTTGTGATGAGCAATGTCACTCCCATTTTGAAGCCGCAGAAGTGAAGGGCCACCCAAGCTGGAACTTTGCTGTAACCAGCACACCCACATTCTCCCAGGCGACCACGAGCCAAACGGTGCCTCGGCTCCTCCTGAAGTCGGTATTTATTACCATTTCTCAATGTCCCCAACTCGTTTTCCCCTCTGCAGCTGTTCCCCACACCGGCTGCTTATTTCCACACCTTGTCTATATTTTCTGGTTCCTGTATGAAAACAGCTGTATTTTTAGCACAGCCTAAAAAATGCGTTAGGAGTATCTCTCTGGGAGATAGCAAGCTTAAACACTTAAGAAGCAAGAGCCCTCTAAGAAAGGAGCCCAGCGCTCCCAGACCAGAGGAGCAGGTGGCTCCTGGGCATTTAACACATCGAAATGCTGCACTGGTCATCAGCCTTTCAGGACTAATAAGGCCTGCCCCTCCCTCCCTGATGGACCTTGGAGAGCTGATACACTGGGTGGCATAAAGGGTGAAATTAACAGGAGCTGAAATTAACAGCTGTGGATTAACATATGCCCAGAATACTAAGTCATACAGGTAAAACGCAATGGTCCGGTGCTCTGTGGTTTTTAAAGGGTTTTCACTACAATTACCCCATTTGTCTTTTTCACTGCCCCCAGCCCCTGGCATAGCAGATGGTCTGAAGTAAACACTCACTGAATGAATGCATGCATGAGTGAGAGGATGAATGCACGGATGAATGAGTGAGTGGAATCTCTGTTCCCACATAACAAAGCTGAAGTCAAGCACTGGGCAGGGGTGAATCTGGCCCTAGAACCTGTGCTTCACCCCACAGCTCTGACTCTCCCCATCTGCACTGGTTTTAGGTGCAAACATGCTCCTTGTTGTCGGCTGATCTTAGAACAAAGGGATGGGAAGGGCCACAGGAAACTCAGCAGGAAAGGACGCATAAGGAACTTGACTTGGCTGCTGCAGGACCCCACCAGGAAGAGCAGTCTTTGGTGACAGTGCTCCCTCTGCTCAGACGGCCCCCAGCTTGCTCGCTCCAGGCCCTTTAGCAACTACAGTGTGACTATCCAGCCCAGCTCCCAGGGCAGGCATGCTCCTGCCTGCATCCTCTTCACCGAGCATGGCTAACTGGGGCTGTCATGCCGCAATCACTCTAGGCTGGCTGGTGACTCCCAGACACACTCCAGTACTCTGTCCCGTCCCAAGCACCTAAGCCTTGATTCAAACCCCCAAGGCCAGATGGGTCTCAGAAAATCAGAATTTGTCAGATTTCGCCAGGCAATATGGCGCCTTGATGCCTATGGGACACTCCTTTCAGTGAGGTCTAGGGCAGTAAGCCCTAATCAAAGGCAGCCCTTTTTCTGCAGTGAAATGAGGAAGAGGATAAAGAAAGATGCTTCACAGTCTCATGTCAGCGCAAGGCAGGCCCTGCCAGGAAACAAGTGTCCAAAATCCTGGATTGGGGAACTGCAGCTAAGAGATCCAGGACCTGTATCCCTCCCCCTGCAGGTGGGTGGTGGCAGGTGGCAACCAGGGTGGGAGGGGAGAGGGAAGCTCACCGTCCTCCCACTCCCTGCTCCCAGCAACCACTCCCCCAGCAGAGCTCTGCAGCCATCACCTTTGATGATCATTCCTTTCCTGTGGGGAGAACAGAACCATAATATAATTGTACCTTTCACTCCATGAACTATATAAATATACCACATTAAACAAACTTGCATCAATACCAATATTCTCTTTCTTTTTTTAATGGAGGTACTGGGAATTAAACTCAGGACCTCATGCATGATAAGCATGCACTCTGCGCTGAGCTACACCCTCCCCCTTCATCAATACCAATGTTCACAGATTATAAGCATCTTGAAAAGAAGGAACACACCCACATCAGAATACCATGGGTGCTGGACTGCGACCTCACGGGAGAGGTCAAAGTTCAGGCCAGGCAGGCGTGTGGCCACCCGGGGGCCCTCCAAGCTCACTTGGTGATCAGTGTCTCCCTCCACTGTGGGAACAGGGAGGCGGCACTCACCCCACTGATGAGGACAGACCACAGCCTGTGAGGCCCCAGGCCCTCTCCTGTTGTCACAGACGCCGGGGATCGTTCCCAAGTCCAGCCCAGCAGTTTCTTCTGCCAGCACATTGCTGGGGTTTGGTGCTGACTTGGTAGATTTTCAATCTCTGGCTTCAAAATATTTTTCTTACATTTATTTTTCCCTTTGCCCCAGTTATCCATTAAAAAAGAAAATTGTGTGCGTTTATGCGAGTTACCCTGAAGTTTGTTTGGAACAAGATGAGGAAAAGAAAAATACAAGGGCATTTTAAATGCTGGGCTTTTAGCATATTCAAATTATTATTTATTCTAAGAGTCTGGGGACTACTGAAAATACTGTTCATATAACATAACTTACTGTAGTTACTAGTTTTGCTCTCGGTAAAAACTAAAAAATAATCTCAGTTATGAATTACCAAGCTCTCTACAGAATAGGCATTTCTTCAGTATAATGAGAGTATTTAGGTATTTACTAGGGAAAACCAATGCACAGACCACAAAATATTTGGTGTGAGAGTTTAGCAGCCGGAAGCCATCCCTAAATTACTCTCTGTCCAGCTTCACCAGGGGGATCCTTGCATGTCTGATTCTATAATGTCATCTCCAGAGAAGACCTCAGGCTACTCTTTGTGCCCAAGGAGCACTGCCAGCTGCAGAAGTAAATTAGAGGGAAAACAGACATGGGGGAGGCAATGCAGGCAGCTGCCCAAGAGCCCTGGGCACCTCGAGAGGAAGGCAGAGGATGCTTCAGGTCAAGGAGATGGAGACAACTCGACCACTAGGAACCAGGGAGCAGGTGTCCAGCAGACTTAAAGCGTTAATGGCAAGACAAAGACTTGACCTAAATTTGCCATTCAAGCCAGAAATGTAAACATTTCCCACACACGACCCTCTAGGTCCAGGTACGAGAACGTCCCCACCTGGCCACAGTGGCACAGTGGACAACCAGAACCCCCTCGGCACCGGGGAAGACTCCAGAACCCGGCAATCTCTGAGCTGCACTGACCACAGAAACCCATGGTCCCCACGGGTCAGAAAACCACAAAAACCTGTGGTCCCCAGTAGGGGCCAGAAGCCCTGGGCACCACTGTGATGTGCTGCCAAGAGGCCACCTGCAGTCAGACGCAAGCCACTGTCCTGCATTCTCACCTTGGGTACAA